GGTATGGTAGTGAGTTAAGTGGTTCAATCACTCTCAGGCTCAAGAGCACAAAAGAAAGGGAAAAAAACCTGAAAAGTTAGCTCCCCGCCCTTGCAAAGTTCAGTTTAGAGGGAGAAATTGAGACAAATTTATCACTATTGTTGTTCAAAGAGAAGGCTTCCTGCCGACAGGCTAATCAATTTGCAATAAAACTTTTCTCCAAGGCTGGTGTCTCGGTATTAGCCTCTGGGCACACGGAGCAGTGGGCACTGTCTATCCTCAGCCCTCTGCCTGCGTGGAAGGGGCCTGGGGGCCAGCCCCACCAAAGAGGACCAGCCTGCAGAGCAGGGCCTGGAGGGCCCCTCTGCGCTCAGGGGGTGCCCTGGCACGCTCGTCTCAGGAGTGGTGGCCTCGGTGCTTCAGGTTGAGGAGGGAGGGGCCAAGACATCCACGGTGGATCCCACACACCTTGCACAACTGTCCGGGGTGGCTGCTACGGGCAGGCTGCTTGGGAGGGCTCCTTAATTGAGACCCCAGAGGTTGGCAGCCAATGCTTTTATTTTTTTTTTTTTTTTTTTTTAACTGTTTTTTTTTTTTTTTAATAGAGGCATGTTTTTATTTATTTGTTTGTTTGTTTTGTTTATACATGCACTGGGTACAGTCAGAAGCGCGGGAGGGTGAGAGAATTCACCAGAGCCAGAGCAGAGAGCAGAGCAGGCAGAAGGACCGAAGTACACTGCTGAGGGGAGCAGCGGGCGGCAGGAGAGGTCTGCGCGCCATGTGGGACCCTCCTCCGGTGGCAGGGGAGAAGCCGGGGATCGAACCGGCGCCGCAGAGGTCGCGGGGCAGATTCACAACCCAACGCTCAACCGCTGCGCCACCGGGGAGGCCCTAGCCAATGCTTTTAGATCCTTTCTTCTTGGTCTCTTTTCAACACTCCCAGGCATCTCTCGCCTCCTCTCTGTGTTTGGGTGATTCTCAGTACAGTAACTGAGGGGTGACTATGCCTGGTGCCAGGGACCCAGACACATTCATTCTGCAGAGAGCAGAGCCAGCACCTCACAGCTCAGGAATGGAATTCCCAAAGCTCAGCGTAATCAAGGGGGAATCTTTACTACCTTCTCTCTTTTGGGGGTGTTCCTCTAACTTCAGTAATTTTTGGACCTGTTATTCTGGACCCCTGTTTTAGAGTACAATGCCACTCAAAGACGTACAAACTTAAAACTTGGTCTAAGTTCCTTATTTTTACAGCTTTTATAGAATTATAATCCTATTACATATCTCTAGATACCAATCCCTTATCAGAAAGCCTTGCGGTTAACTGTGTTTCAGAATCGGGAATTTTTAAGTCTTCATAAATTACGAAACTATTACAAATGGCCTCCAACAGGGTCTGGAAGCCCTCTTTTACTGCAGTAAACAAAAGCAGCAAGAAAACCACACACATGCAAAGCTCTGCAGCTAAACGTATAAATACTCACCTAAACAGGATACAGGGACTCCAAGCTGTCTCGTTGCCATTCGGCCAGGTCTCACAAACTTAGGAGAAAACTTTCAGCTTTCAGAGCTTTTGAATTTCGTAATTGCAAATAAAGGATTGTAGACCTGTACAGCTCAGACACACTCTAACCATCAAATAAAGTCGAAACCTTTTTTCCTTTTACAATTCCAGACCCATTTCTGCCCGTGGTGCCACTTTGGACAGTGTGGCGAGGGTCACTGCAGCTCCTCAGTTGTGTGAGCAGCTATAGTGAGAAAATTTGAGAAAGGATGTCGTTTTCTACATCGTACAGGGAAGAAAAGAGGCCCAGAGAGGTCCACTGTCCTGGAGGTAAAAAGCAGACTCTGGGGTCAGAGCTCGCCAGGCTGCAGCAGCCTCTCCCACTTGCTCTGTGCAGTCAAGGACTGTTATTTGGCTTCTCGAAGCTTTCATTTTCTCTCCTGTAAAATGAGGATCACAGGTCCCTACTCTCAGGGTGGGGTGGGGATGACCCCAGGCCACGGGTGATTCTGACCCGCTTATTAGCACAATCTGGGGCCTAGTCACGATAAATACTCAAGGAACACTGGTGTTGGGGGGCAAATAGGTTCCTTTGGGGCTCTTCTAGAAGCTTAAACACAAGTAGTCAAAGCACAGTCTTCCATTCCTCCTCCAGTGGGCGTGGCGGCACGGACCCTCCACAAGCCCATACGTTTCTCCAAACATCACAGACATGCCCTGGGGAGGAATCCTGTTTGGATTCAACCCTGACCACTGTTTATAAATACTGGGTCTCTGAAGCAGTTAAGGCCAAACAACTTCTGGTCTGCACTCTTCAGCATGGCCCTGGAAGCAAGGGCAAAAGTGGTTAATATTTGCTCTTACTTAAAACATGTTTCCACACATATGTCCTGTTAATGACATCATCCTGCACGGAAATCCCCTCCTGTGGCCCTCCAGTCCACCCATCCCTGTATTTATTCAGCATTCATTGAGCAACTCCCAGGAGCCCCAGGGGAAGGGTAGTGATGCACACACCCAGCTTCCTCTCAGCACTCAGGCCAGCTGGTCCCACACCTGGGGGGCAGGACGCCCTCTGGGGGTTTGGGTGGCTGGGCGGCAGGCCAGGAGGCACCCCCCCAGGGTCTGTGTGAATGGGCCCACTTCGGCACCCTCATTCAGCTCAAAGGCATCAAGGCAAAAAAGACATTTTCCTCTGCCAGCTTCCGTGTCCAGCGCGCCAGTCTGCAGACAAAGACTGGGCTTGCTCTGACATTGACAAAGGAGTGTGTCAGGGAGGGGTGGGGAGCCCCAGAAATGACAAATGGGCAACACGACCCAGAGAGAAAGGGCTTGGAGTGTGAGAAACATGCACTGGAGATGGGGCAGCATGTGTGTGTGCGTGTGTGCGTGCATGTGAGTGTGTGTGTCTGTCTGTCTTCGGGAAACAGCTGGGTTGGCCAAGTTCCTGGTTGGGAGATGGGGCCAGGCTTGCCTCCAGCCCCAGTGAAAGGGGCCTCGCCTGTCAGAAGACTGGAGCGCTGCCAGGGAGAGACAGGCAGAGACTTCCAAGCACCCAGGGCCCCAGGGAGGAAGGTCTGGTGAGTTCTCTGGGTCAGATCACCTCACAAAAATGTTTACCAGTGCATTTGACATGGAAAAAAAAAAATCAATGAATGCAACAATTATTAAATGCTTGGAGTGCCTGGGTGACTCATCTCTCTAATGACAGAAGTTACATAATCACTTGTACCATGTCTATGACTCATCTCCTCACTTTATTTAGAGCACAAGAGGGAAAAGGGGAATTCTGACCCTAGTCGATTAGAAGAATAAGTCCCCCAATGTATGATTGGTCAGAAAGGACCCAGGTCCCTATGTCTCTACGGAGCGGGCATCCAGCCCCTGGGTCCATCTGACAAAAAGGGTGGCGGCCGGAGGGCAGCGTCCTCCATCTGGGGCAGAGCCAGCTGTCCAGTGGGCTAGGCCATTCACAGCACATTAACCGCAGGGCAGGCGGGCTGCACTGCGGGGGTCCCACGGTAACAAACACCCACAAATTCACTCTGCCCGCTGAAGTGGCTTGAGAGCCCCATCAGCCCTGTTAACAAACTGTGACGTCCCAGCTCTCCCTCTTCAAGTCCTGCCCTAGAAGGAAGGAACTGTGCCCCTTACTTGAGATAGAAAAGCCTTTCCCCTTCCTCTGAGATAGTACAGTCCCCAAGTCCTCAAATAAATGGACAACTTTCTGGCTCAGTTACTCCAGAGAAGACCCGAGACAGAAGGAAAGTGGTGGGTCAGGAGACTCAGGCCAAAAGATGGTACAGAAGTCATTTTCAGTGTTTCAGAAAATCTGAAATCACAAAGTCACCTCTATCTGGCTCACACACATTTAAACCCAGTCATCTCACGAAACTATTAAGTTTAATACTATGGGCTATAAATATGATTAGTAAATAGAAAAAAAATTACCTGGTAAGTTATACTTCTTGGTGGACAAAACCCTTGACAATCTGGGTGCAGGATAAAGTCCCAAAAATCCCTCTTCAGGGCCTCCCTGGTGGCGCAAGGGGTTAAGCACCGCACTCTGAAGCAATCCGCAGCCTCTGTAGCACAAGTTCAATCCCCGGCCAGGGAGCAACCTACAAGGCGCAGCAGACCTCTCCTGTCTCACCCGCTGCTCCCCTCAGCAGTGTGTTTCAGTCAGTCTGCCTGTTCTGTTCCCCACTCTGTCTCTGGTGGATCCTCTCACCCCCGACCCCCCGCACCTCTGGCCTGTACCCCAGCTCTTGTATGCATAAATAAATCTTTTTTTAAAAAAATCTCTCCTCAGCTTCCTCTGCAGGATGAGATCATGTGTCCATCGCTGACACAGCTACGTCCAGATGGGATGCATCAGTTTCCGAAGAATTCACTTGACTTCAGGTATTCAAATGTCTAGTTCCCAGCGTTCTCAAGTTTAAAGCATCCTTGTACATTTATTTTTCAATTTAGTGGTTTTTGACCAGGTCTGCTACCCAAGAGAATTTAACACAATCAGTCCACCTTGAGGCATGCTATGGTAAGAGTAACAAAAATCCTTTTTTTTTTTTTTGTACCAGGCATTGACCTTGGATTACTACATAATTAAAACCTAGAAAATTGGAGGTAGCAAGTGAATCCTCTCTCAAGAGGATTCCAACAAATCTGATTTCTGAGGCCCTTCGTTGTCTCTCCCCTTCAGAGGGCACAGAAAAACTGGCCTAGAAGTCACTGCAGGTTAAGTCAACCTTTATTTTATTTTATTTTTAAAGAGGCATGTATTATTTATTTGTTTGTTTGTTTATACATGCACTGGGTACAGTCAGAAGCGCGGGAGGGTGAGAGAATTCATCAGAGCCAGAGCGGGGAGCAGAGCAGGCAGAGGCAGAAGGACCGAAGTACACTGCTGAGGGGAGCAGCGGGGGGCAGGAGAGGTCTGCGCACCACATGGGACCCTCCTCCGGCGAGCCGGCGCCGCAGAGGCTGCAGGCAGCCTCATAACCCAGTGCTCAACTGCTGCGCCACTGGGGAAGCCCTAAGTCAACCTTCATTAAGCGTAGGAGACTGATGAAAGGCCCCTGAGGTAGGTTAGCTCATCGCCCCCCGTGGTTTCTATATTTAATAGAGATATATTCTGATTAAATATGGAAGCAGATTTGATTTGCAAATTGAGTTTTTCTCTAGGTAATTCACTACCTTAATTCAAGAACTAATTATCCTTGGGTATTCCCATCTCTGTCCTTCTTGGTTTTTAATGTTATCTTTTTTGCCAATTCAGAATCTTCCTTTTTTCCAAACATGACTTAAAAACTTTGTGTGGGGCAAACTCAGATTTTAAACCCTGTCTTTTGTGAACCTTCCTTTATTCTGTGTTCCCATTCAAATGATGGAGCAAGTGACCGTGGTGCTTACTTATACTCAAGTGTGCCGGCATCCCACATTTAAACAGATCCTAAGCCACTGGTGGGCAGTCTCAGCGCACATGAGTACCAGAGAGAATACTTGGGTTACAGAAAACCATGGCAGTTACCTGCTGATACAGGAAATTCACCCTCATTACTCTTCTCAACCCTCCTAAAGGATCATACTCATCCTCCACAGCAGCATCATTGTCTGGGCCCCGAGCATCCTGGCTGATGCTACTGGAGCAGACTCTGGTGGCACTGTTGACACGCTTCATAAAGACAAACAATGCATCTGATTCCCACAGGAAGGCATGAACACAGTCCCTGCTTTCAGAGGCCTGGCGCAGACGTGGTCAGGCACACAGTCAGCTCTTACAGGCTCCTTCTGAACAATGGTCAACTCTGGTCTTTCTGCCAAACATGTTTCTGATCACTCAGTCCCAACCTTGTGTGTTATTCACTGTTCAGAAAGAAAAGGTTCTGCAGCTTTAGGACGGATAGAGAAAATCTATGCTCTACCAGGTTAAAGTAAAGCTGCTTTTTCGTCACATGACCTATGTAATTTTAAGTTGATCCTCTATGAAATATCCATGCTGTATTGCAACTACAAAATCCTCTAAGTTGTTTTGGGTCTTTGAGTTAAATATTCTCTAGAAAGACTTTTCAGAAACTAACTATTAACAATGGTTGTTTTGAAACTTCTCATAGATGAAATATAGCACCTTTCAGGGGTGTGGCCTGCTGTAATCAGTACCACTTTATCACGCGTGAAGGAAAAAATGCTTTTGTGTTTCCAAAATTGTTCCCTGATAACTGCCAACCACAGTCACACAGTATAAGACTTCCATGTAAGAAAACTAGCCCAGCTGGATTCATGCAGTCTTTATTAATTGGACAAATACAGGAAGATCTGCAGTCATCTATCAAAATTATATCTTACCGAGAATTTGAAAGATATTTAAAAAAGATGTATTCACAGTCTGTCTGAATCATGTACAAAGATGTGTCTGCAGAAGCAAAAGCCAGACAATGGATACGTGAGAATAAATGATCCGCTGAAATCAGCCCCAGCACCTCCAATCAACAGTAAACAAGACAATCCTACTCTACACAGTCTTCGAAGCTGCCCTGTTGCAACAATTATTTTCAAAGGAAAATTGCATCCTGGGAAATCCTTCCTGGCACACACATTAGGTTAACAGCACATTCCTTACTCCAGGGTCCAGGATGGACCCAACTACCTCCTCAGGGCAATGGTGCAGCTGCCAGAGGCCCAGAAAACAGCATTAACACTTTGCAGAAAGGGGTTCATTTCAGCACCAGGCTGCTTTTAATACACAAATATTAGGTATTTTTCCTACCAGAGGAAAAGACTGTTCAGATGCTATCATCCAGGTATTTGGGAAGCGGATCTGACAGTCTTGGTTACACTTAGCTTGGCAGTTTCAGTAAGGGTTCTGAAGACTTGACACCATTGTTTTTTATCTCCTGTGTTTGGGAAATTTAGAGAGGAGATCACAAAAATCACTTCTGGGCTCACAGTCATGATATATTGTTTCATCTCAGGGCAAAACCAAATGTTCAATTTCTAAGTCACTGTCCTACCTTGGTGCTCAGGATACCCTCGGAGGTGAGGAGAAGGACAGGTCAGACTGCTCTTTGTAGAAAATCCAAAAGCAAATGTAGAGAGAACGGAGTACTTTAATCAAAGGGTCGGTTTCTAGAGGAATCAGGTCACCTTTATAATAACAATTTTATAAGCCCTCAATAGTGGTAATCCTGAAAAGGGCGTTTGACAAGTACCCTACATATTACAGACGTCAGATGGTAGATTCCAGAAACAAGAAATTCTAGCTGCAATCTTATTCACCTTTGCAGCATTAGACTTGAGCACCATGCCAGGAACGTGGAAGACATTAAATCTCATCATAGTGGTTTCTAAGCTCACGGTCATCCAGGTTTAGATCATGAAAGGCTGAATTTGCAAAGTTGGGCACTGGGGGGCCTCCCTGGTGGCACAGAGGTTAAAGTCTCAGCACTATCAAGCTTTCACCATCCACTGCAGCATGAGTTCGACCCCCAACCAGGGAGCTAACCCATATGGGGTGGGGGAGCGGGCAGCCCTCTCCTGTCTCACCTGCTGCTCCCATCAGAGTGTATTTCAATAGATCCACCTGTTCCTCTCCCCACTCTATCTCTGGTGAATCCTCTCAACCCCTGCTCCTCTGGCCTATACTCCAGTTCTTGTTCGCATAAATACAAATAAATCTTTAATTAAAAAAAAGGTTGGGCACATGGGGGGCTGGACACTCAAGGTTTCCCTGTGACCTCTGACCCTGGAAGATAGCTCTCTGTGAAATTACCATCAAGGCTACATATACAAAGTTGTTTGAAGACAAATACTAAATATATTACTTATTGGGGGGGGCCTCCCTGGTGGCACAAGGGGTTAGGACACAACCTATGAAGCCACTGCAGCATGAGTTTGATCCCCCGGCTGGCCAGAGAGCAACCCACATGGCACAGCAGACCTCTCCTGACTCACCCGCTGCTCCCCTCACCAGTGTATTTCAGTAAATCTGTCTGTTCTGTTCTCCACTCTGCCTCTGGTGGATCCTCTCACCCCCCACACCTCTGGCCTGTACCCCAGCTCTTGCATGCATAAATAAATCTTTAAAATTTATATATATAAATATATATATAAAAAAACTTATTGGGCAGCTGTTATGTAAGGATTTTTGAAACCAGAGGGACACTTTAAAATATGAAGGCCCAGGAGTGCGAAAGTAAAAACACCATCTTTTTAGTTGTTTCTGTAGTGAAATCAATAAAATGCTTACTTACAATTGTTTTGTTCCAAGTTGCTTAGAAGGCTATCTTATCCTGATCAAGATATTTAATCATTTACAGTGGGAGCTGGGAACAAGGGCCACACATGGTCATCACCTAGTGGGAATCAGAAACAGGAAAGGCAGCCCAACTCCCTTTGCCACGTTAAACAGATTGGCTTTGGTTTGGCCAGGCTCCACAGCCCACCCCCTCGCTCCTGTGTGAGGGCAGCACACACTCTATGGAAATGTGAACATCTTTGGTGACAATCTATTTCATGGTGGAAGACTAGCTTTTTGATATTTCAGAGACTACTGAATTGATTCTAAAAAGAATGTTTGAAGGAAAAGTTCTATGTCTGAGATCGGTGATTCAGAGACAGGAGATGTGTTCCCCTATGCTGAGATAGGCCAGTCACACGCAAGATGCACTGAGACACCCTTTCACACCACGCATCCTCCTCTGAGATGAGGACGTGACAGACACTTGCACAAATGATTGGCTCTAGGTCAGGGCTCCAAGACTGCTTCAAATCACAAAATGGTGTTTAGATGGCTTTGCTGTAGCTGTTGAATTGTATCTTTTTAGAAAATCCACTTCACATCTATGAGAGGTCAAAAAAGAGAGGATCTTGGTGGGGAGGAGTAGAGGGGCTAAATAAAAAAAAGAGTGGGGATTGGAGAAGCTACAACTCTAAGACCCACTCTTTCTTTGCATAGTTCTTAAGTTTTCCTGAAGGTTTCAGCTGCCAAGTACTAGTATGAACCAGTTTTTACTCATGCTCAGGTTAGTACCAGCAGACTACAGCTAAAGTTATTTCTTCTAAGAAATTCCCCAACAGAAAACAAATACTCTAAACTCCTGGGTGAACCCCAAACAAGATCACATGACAGACTGAGAGAAGCAATATGAAAGAGAGGAAAGGCTGACTTTTCTTCAGCCTCAGGAAGAAACCAATTTCCATACGGGCTTAGTCTGCTCCCCGGGGCTGTCGGCTCTCTGTGGTAAGAGGGTGGCGCCTACAAGGCTTCCTTAGCGGTGCCCGTGCTCACAGGCTGAAGGTGCTGCTTTTGTGCACTGCCCAAGGGAACGACACAGGGCCGAGCGTCAATGCCCAGTTCACACGCAGGTGCACCGAGACAAAGGTATAGGTAAGGGCAACGCCCACTGTGAGATTCTTGAGTAGTAACCTGCATCTCCCCAACTTAATCTCTGCCATGGGACATTAGCTCATTTTGTCCCGTGGACGGGCCCTTCTTTTCCTCTCTTGGCAGCTGCTTCTCCTCCTGACTCGACTCTCCCATAGCCTACCAGGTGAAATAATGGCTTTCTCCAAACTCTTGCTATATACTTGACAGAACATAAACTTTACAATCTACCAGCTGACGGCTATTGGCTCAAATTTTGACCCAATGTCGAGACAATGGGTTATAACAGAATAAGAAAAACAAGGACAGAAAGTGCTTCAGCAGTCACTGTGCTCTTCTTTAATTTCTGTCTTTGGGCACATATTGTATTTGCTATTGAAGAAACTATGACAGCGAGGCTGACTGATTCATAACACATTCTTTGTACCACAAAGAGTAAAATCCTACAATAACTGAATCATCTGTTACCACAACAGAGCAGTCTTATTTGCTGTAGAAAAGAAATGAAAAACTGCTGACAGTGGGAGTAGAGTAGGAGAAAGGGAACAGAGGCGGCACCTGGGGGTCAATGAACCTGTAGCTATGTCTAAAAATTTGGTGGAAAACCAGAATTTACCTAAAGAGTGATAAGGAATCATTGAGTAACAGTGCCATTATTTCCAGAAATTACTGATTCTGGAACTTGAGGTTAAGACTTTTAAGATAAAAAAGACTTCAGTTCAGACTGGCCTTGGGGAGAAATGGCAACTGTATGGTAATGCATTTCAGTGCTTGAGAACAAAAGTTGTCAAAATCAGCCTACTCATCTGACTTGACTCAAGGTTAAAAAAAAAAAAAAAAAAAAAGTCTGCAGCAAAAAAGTCTGAAAGTGAAAATTTGAGCCCCTTTTCATCTTTCCCTTTTGCCTCCAGTGCCTGCTCTCCTCACAGTACCTCTGGAAAAGGTTCAGAATTCAATACAGATTTATTAGGTTGATTTTCAACATGTAGTTTACGGTGAAGAGTCCTGTTTGATTTAAAACACTCCATCTAACCTCTTGGTATGGCAGTCCTGAGAGTCCGCAATTGGTAAAATCCTCCTGTGACCGAGGCTCAAACTGCCAGTGGCTGCACAGTGACTTCTTGGCCTATCGCTTGGCCTCGTCCTTGTCCCTCAAACTAGTAATTTTTGCACCAAGGGACTCAGTCCACCATTGTGACGTATATTCAAAACCGTTTTCTGTAGACACCTTCCTCCTTCCAGTGTCCAATAGTGCAGGTGGTCAGGAAGACTTGGAAGGAAGTTACAAAAAGTCCAGCCGGGAATCTTGACTTTGTTAGATGTGGACACAGGAAAACCGCCTTTGTCCTCCCCAGATTTTATTATAGTCAAAGGAGAAAAATCCATGGGATCCTAATTGCAAATATGCTAGATATAAAATTGATGGAATGCTAGTTGGTCCATAAAGGGCTGCACAAGATAATCTGTGGCAAAGTAGAAAATAAGCCCAAAGGTGATAGAGATTGGAAGAGCTGGCAATGCTTTCTTGAAAATGGCGAGGAGTAATAATGTAAGGCACAAACCCTGTGGGAAAGAGGGAAAAAGACACAAACTTATACAGAATTACAAAAATATTTCATGCAAAACAACTCAATCACAAGTCTTGGTTTTTATGTAGCTCATTGAATGCTATCCCTTTTGAAGTTAAATTTTAGAACAATTTTTTTTTTATTAAATCTGGAAGAAGAGTATTAAGCAAAGGTAGTTTCTTGATTAAAAAGCAATCAATATTTTACTTTGTAACCTAAGAATTGATTATGCGCATATTGTAGACACTTCATCTCCTAATTCTAGGTAAGGAATAGAATCTAGAAATAAGTAAAACTTCCTGAAAAAAATTAAGTAATGTCAAAATTGCTATCTAAAATATTAAGTTGGCTATTATGATCTGTTTGGTTGGCTGAAATCCCAGAAGTGAAGAACATTCTTTATGCTTTGTGGAGGCAAAGAGCAACTCAGACCATAAACCAGGAAAGGTTTATGAAGAGTACTGTTTTCTCATAAAGTAGCCAAGTAATTAGTCCTTGTCACCCCAGACACTGACTAGAAGTCTGGAGGTCAAGCATCTTTTCTGGTTTATCCTGAATAAATATTTTTCTTCTTAAAAGAAAAGAACACATCCAGAAGATTAACCTCAAAAGCTAAATAAAGACACGAACATTCTCACTGGTTAGGGAGCATTACCACAAATGCGAACACAAAATGAATGCCTAAGTGAAAGCTCTCACTGAGTCTCTCATCTAACTTCATTCGTACTGTATAGCAAAGATATCACATCTTTACTAGAAAAAAGCAGTAAGAAATCTCTTTTGAGTTACTTAAATCAATCTTTTGAATTTTCAAGGTTCATGTGGCACTCTAAGCAAGACTGAGCAGGAGCGCAGACTGTGGTGTCAACTGTTGGCCTGTGTGTGCCGAAGCAACACCATGCGTGACGTTTACAGACCTGCCACCGAACCCTCAGAGGTTAATGGGATCTGCTTCTCTCTACAAGACTGATCGAGCGCGGTTATTTTTCTACATATCTATGCTGCCTGGCTTGAACCTCCTAATCAGAGGTCCTTACCAGAATTTCCCGAGGAACTTAAAAGAAAGCAAAAACAAAAACAAAATGAAAACAAATTAGGTAAGAGCATCTCAGAGTAGGGACACACAGTTTTAAGTGTGTGGTCAGGTGGAGAGAAAACTATTCAGGTGAGGTCCAATTATGTGAATTTTCACAAAGCTCCCCAGGTGACTGGGACACTCGGTCCCGCTGGGGTTATAGCAGGATGATAGTAAAGGGCCGGTGGAATCAGTTTTGGGATGAGGAATTCTGACACATTTTTATTAACATATACTTACAATTAATATGGCTACAAAACAGGCTATGGTCGTATTCCAGTCTCCGCTGGCCGTCGCAGAGGCTTTACCCACCAGAACACTGTAGAAAATGAAGTCTCCTAACCCAAGTTTTACTCCCCCTAAAAAAGAAAGATTACAAGTATAAAAACATTAGTCACTTCTGGCTATGATTTCACAATTCAAAAATGTCACTGTCTCACTTCATCTTGCACAAAATGAGAAGTCAGTAAATGATAACCTAGATTCTCTCAATATTTTAAAAATAAAAAAAAATTTTATATTTTATATTTACATTTTAAATATAAATTGTACAGGGGCCTCCCTGGTGGCGCAAGGGGTTAAGACGCAACCTATGAAGCTGTCCACAGCCTCTGCAGCATGAGTTCGATCCCCAGCCAGCCAAGGAGCAACCCACATGTGCAGCAGACCTCTCCTGACTGGCCCGCTGCTCCCCTCAGCAGTGTACTTTGGTCACTCTGCCTGTCCTGTTCCCCACTCTGTCTCTGGTGAATCTTCTCACCCCCCACATCTCTGGTCTATACCCTAGCTCTTATATGCATAAATAAATCTTAAAAAAAATATATAAATTATACAGCAAATATACAAATGAAATTTTTGTACACAAATATATTGCAGTCATAGAATAATCATTTCAAAAATATCTTTTACTTTACAAAACAAATGCCAAAGATTAAGGCTCTATATAGCAGGGCTAATTTAAAAAAACATGAGGGGTTCATTAGTAAATTTAACTATAAGAAAAATTTAACTATATGAAAAGCCCCATCCACTGTTTTTTTCCCATTATAAGCTGTATTTAGGATTAGACTGTAACTCCCCTGGTTCATTTTACTTTGGGAGTTTAATAAAGCAACGACTAGGGCCTCCCCTGGTGGCACAGTCGTTGAGCGCTGGGTTGCGAGGCTGCCCGCAACCTTCAGAGGCTGCCTCTGAAGCGCTGGTTCGATCCCCAGCCACCGGCGAGGGTCCCACAAAAAAAAAAAAAAAAAAAAAAAAAGCAACGACTAAAAGAACCCATGAGGCTTCAATGTAGAGAAATGCACATACTTTCCTCTGGGTCCTCACTGGCTAGGATGCTGCTGGAAAGTTCCTGTACGGCAGTCCTCGACTCAGCCGTAGAGCGATGAGGCCCAAGGCGGTTATCCCTCTGGGCTTCCCACTCTTCACTGAAGCCACCATCGTCACTCTCCATTGTAGGGTCTTGTGGTGCATTTTCTGTGCCTTCAAGAGAAAGTGGCTCTAATATTTAGAAAATTTCTTAATACCTTTAAGAAAATTACACGGAAACAGTAACAAACCAACTATCTTTGTAACTAAGTCAGCTGGCTTTTAAGCCACAAGTCTTGGGCTATAGCAAGCAGTACCTGTTTGCTGCTTACCCAACAGCCCTTTTACCCCTTTAATAGCTGAGAGCAGAGTCCTGAACTGTTTGCATTTCCACCTCTTGGGTAAATTTTGATCAACCCAAGCCAAGCATGGTAACCCCACCATTCCTCTTCCCAATGAAAGTTTCAAAGCGGTGGGGCTAGAACTGGCCAAGTGTAGTGAGCTTAAGAGTGATGAAAGGACTTCCCTGACTTCCCCTGGATGTTGTTTTATCTGGTTGTGATGTCTGGAGCTGTGGTTGTCATCTTGTGAAGTGAGGAGCAATGGGCTGAACACCAAGTCTGTATCTAACGCTGGCAGTGGAAGACAGGACGAACCTGGGCAACTGCTAAACCAAAACTAACCAACACTCCAAACGCCCAGGGCCCAGGACTTCTGGTCATCTAAGAGAACAATTTCTTCTTTGCTTAAAGCAACGGAGTTGATTTCTGATCCAACTGCTTTGTGCACAAGCAAACTTCCTAACCTGGCATCTCACTACCGCGCTAGTGTCTAAGTTATGAAGGCAGACCCTGGAGGGAGGAGTGGGAAAGGGAGAAATGACTATCTTTTTAGTGGTTAATTATCTTGTCACGACTGCCAAGCTGCCTAAAAAGTATGAGCGTAACCCGATAGTCCTGAGAACCTTCCATACAGTGAAAATACATTAGTGAAGTTGCTAATACACTTTTTCTCCTTTTTTTAATGGAAGTGATACATGTTCATTGCAGAGGCAGATTTACTGTAGATAAAGCTTGCACACGTTAGGCTTCTCACATGAATTTTTTCTGTGAGGGGCTCTAATAATTTTACATTTGTAACATATTCTTCTTACCACAAAATCACCACAAAACTGAATCTTCCCTGGTTTGGAATTTATAAAATCATTTAAGCAAAATTCTAAGCATGAAGATTTATAAATAAAAACAGTAGTCTCTGATCTGCCCCATCCTCTTTCACTTTCTTTCAACCATTTCTCCTATTTAGCTCCAGAGTTAACTACAAATAGCATGCAGTATCTTGACGTTTTTAGAAACTAAGTCTTTCTGCAGGGAAAATGAAGCATTAGTTCACACATAGAAGTTTAACTCCCCCCATGGATTCTCTATGGCACAATTTTAAGTTCAGCTTTTATATTATCACTATGCAAATAGTATTTACAACTAAACTACTTCACTACAGCAAGGATATATAGTTATTCCTTTTGCACAACTTTTTTTTTTCTTCTAGAAAACTGCTCCCTTTCCCCCCTTTTATTAATTTTTTATATATTACCTATATCTAATTCAACTTCAAATTTTCTCACAGGGAGTTCAAACACTCAAGCAGCATCTCAGTTCTATTCTTTTTTCCCTTGTACACATATCCCTGGTAGGGGGCTAAGGCCTTTCATTCTAATCTAACTTCTAGTTCCTCTAAACAGTCTTTCAACTGAGGGTAGCATCTTTCTTCTGAGAGGTGCTTGGTAACAACTAGAATGGAGGAATTTTTGGTTATCACAAGCCCTGAAGTCACTCTGCATTTAGTGGGTGAGTGGGCCAGAACACCAAATATCCTGTAATGTGAGGGTAAGAACCACGTGATTAAAAAAACTGCCCCACCCAGAATACCAACAGCATTCCCAATGAGACCCTTCAAGGTCCTTGCCCATGTTATTTCATCTTCTGGAAATTTCTTCCTGTCTTAAGCCATCTATCTCCTATAATCATTTCCTCAGGAAAACATTCCTTGACTTGCCAGAATAAGTGAAATTCCTCTACTATAAACTTTCATAGCAACTTACATTTCTCCTTTGTAATGCTTCTCATGCTGTATGAATTATCTGTTGAAAATCTGTCTCCTCAAATATATTAGGAACTCCATAGAGAGGGTGGAGGAGGGATCTTGTTCAGTGCTACATCCCCACTTACGTGCCCAATCAGCATTTGTCAAAAGAATAAAATCTTGTACCAAATATATATCCATATTCATATACAAATATACTCAACACAACCAGTCTTTTAATTTTCTTTAGCTTAACAAAAGTTAACCTGAATACTTGATGTGGGGGCCTCCCTGTTGGCACAGGGGTTAAAGACACAGCACTATCAAGCCAGCACTATCAAGCCAGCCATTGCAGCTTGAGTTCAATCCCTGGCCAGCCAGGCAGCTACCCACATGGCACAGCAGACTTCTCCTGTCTCGCCTGCTGCTCCCCTCAGTGTATTTCAGTAGATCTGCCTGTTCTGCTCCCCACTCTGTCTCTGGTGAATCCTCTCACCCCCCCACACCTCTGGCTTATACCCCAGTTCTTGTATGCATAAATAAATAAATCTTAAAAAAAAACAAAACTAGATGTGCAGGAATTGTTTCTAATACATTTTCTACTTCTCTCCTTGCTCTGTTGCTGGCCTAATGCAATCTCATTTTGAGGCCTTTGCTCACTGTGGAATAGACCTGCTATCCCTGATGCCCATCTATGAATTCTCATTTGAAAGTGTCTTCCTTATAGTACCCAACAGCTGAATTAGCAATTTTCTTGGCTCTATAAAGCCTAAACTCTCTCTTTCCTATAAAACAACAACTAATAGCTAAGGTTCATTTTCCCTTCTTACCAATCTTTATTTCAGCTTCTTCATAAAGTTAGACCTTTTTATTTTTTTAATGCTGTTATTCCTAATAATAACCCCCTACCTAACATTCTCCTTAATATCTTTCAGAGTATACAAAATGGGCCTTTCAAGCTCCCATACTAGGTCAACATATTATCCTCTTCCAGAAAGTCATATCCTGGAATATTTTATCTTTATGTTACTCTGGCCACGTCAGACAAAAAGTTCACATCTTTACGTGTCTGAAGAACAAGTTAATTTTTTTCTTTTTAAAATCACAAAGGTTCAATTAATTGAACCTTTCCATACTGATATTAATGATATTTAATGGCAGGAATTCTTAACTCAAGATCACTGACAGTATTGTTGGTTTTGCAACATCTAAACTCATTAAATGTTTGCTTTGTGCTACCACAACTTTCAGAAGATTCTCAAAGGAGTCCATGACCAAAAAAAGAGGCTAAAATACACTTCATAACTGTTAGCCTATAAAATGACAATGACCCAGAAAAACCAAGAAATAACCAAATAAAAGTCACCTACTTTGTGCATTGTAATTGGAGGTTTTGGGTACCTTCCTTTGGGCTTCTGGGTCTCCTTCTGCCATATTCACCAACCACACCATTGTTGCTGTTGAGAAAGACAAGAGTCCAGGTAAAGCACTAGAAACAGAAGTACATGGAGAGACAGGAGGCCATTATCTCTCTATGCCAATCTTCTTGCTTGAAGAATGTGTAACAATGAAAAGTAAAAACAGGGGCCTCCCTGGTGGCGCAAGGGATTAAGTCTCAGCACTATGAAGCTATCTGCAGCCACTGCAGCATGGGTTTGATCCCGGGCCAGGCAATTAACCCACATGGTGCAGCAGACCCCTCCTGTTTCACCCACAGCTCCCCTCAGCAGTGTATTTTAAAAGATCTGCCTGTTCTGCTCCCCACTCTGTCTCTGGTGAATCCTTTCACCCTGCTCCCCCCAGCACCTCTGTTCTACACCTCAGTTTTTGTAAGCATAAATAAAGAGAAATTAAAAAAGATAAATACAAGGAATAAGAAACATAAAAAACAATAAAGACTATAGTCAGCTGGCCTTTTCTATGTGCCTTTAAAAAATACAGATATCAAAATATCTATATAGATCTCTGTATACACGTCTGTTACATTTAATTAAGAAGCAAATATGACCACTTCAAAACGGTGCTTCTCTTATACATTGCAGGTAGATTGCAAAACCATATAGTTCCTACTGAGAGGAATATGATAACACCTAAGAAAACTACATGTGCATTAACCCTTCAACCCAGAAATAGCATTTTTGGGAAATGGTACAGGATACAATACTACAAAGATGCATATAAACATGTGCCATTCAGGTTACCAAAGGTTCACAGCAACCCAAGTCCAATCTGGTCAAAGTAAGCAATTTCAAACAAAACAGTTGGCATCTATGTCTCCATAGCTTTTTATCACAGATTTTAAAATAATATCCATGTTCCTAATACTCTCAGTTTTCTTGAATAATTTATGAATGAAATATATAATAAAAAACTGTACAGTAGCCCCACTTACTCACCATGGCTTTGTAATTTTGAGGTTAAACAAGTTTCACTATAGACAACCCAACCAATCTAAGTCAACATAAGTCAGGCTGGTTATTTAAATCCAAAGAAGAGAAACAGAAAAGGGAACACCATGTACATGTTTATGGATCTGCGCAGTACCATAATAATGACCATTATATGTGTTTGCGTTCCTAAATATTCTAACTTAATATTCAAAAATACTTACAGGAGTAAATGAGAGCTGGAAATAGAGTTTCATTTCTCTCCTGAGCTGTTTCAACCAGCATACGGAGTGGGCCTTTTGGACACAAAACAGCCACTAAATCTAGAAAGATAAAAATAGAAAAGACATCCAAAACATGTATTGGCTATACCTATAAATGGGTGTGTTAGGGAGGAATTAACCAATGGAAAGATTTAATTTTCTTTTTCCCAGAAAGGTGAGTGAATATAAAATAAGTGGGAGGAAAAATGTGGGAGCAAAACCACCTAAACAAAATCACAGAGAAGATGTGTACAAGTTTCCTTTCAGCTCTGCTATTTTGATTAGTTTACAGTGTATTATTACTGGATTCTTGGAATAAGTCTTCCCTGTTTAAAGAAAAGAGGCAGGGACAATGACAAGAGAGAATAATTCTAAAGCAGCTGTCAATTTCCAATAAGCAGAACCAAGACAAGTTATTTCCAAAGAAATCATATCTGAGCCATAAACAGAAGCTTTATAATGAGAGAAATTTAAGAAAATATTTGACTGAACTTTGCAAAATATGAGAAGCATATAAGAGATTCCCTCCTCTTTCCAAAAAGTGTATGTACTACTTAGAGATACTTGAAATACAAAGGCAGTAAATTGAAAACAGTACAAAATAACAAATATTTGCAAGAGAAAGTTTAGCATTTTTTAGTCCTTTGTCAAAAGCACTAATGTTCAGGTGTCAGAGCACATATGGTGCTGAAAGTGGTTTATTTAACAAAAACAGCAACTCAGAGAGGAAGCAGCATATCTTCTAAATTATTTTTAATTCTACCACCATCTCCTTCATTCAACTGCAATTTTTCTTACATTTTCTGTGTCATAAAAATTTAGACTGTGGAAATACAGAAAACAATTTTAAACATTTAAAAATAAACAGGTAGGGGCCTCCCCGGTGGCACAGGCTCAATGAGCGCAGTGCTGTGAAGCTGTCCGCAGCCTCTACAGTGCGGGTTTGATTCCCGGCCAGCCAGGGAGATACCCACATGGCACAGACCTCTCCTGTCTCGCCCGCTGCTCCCCTCAGCAGTGTTTTGGGTTGCCTGCCTCCTCTGCTCCCTGCTCTGTCTGGTGAATCCTCTCACCCTCCCGTGCCTCTGGCCTGTACCCTAGTTCTTGTGTAAATAAATAAATCTTTAAAATAAAAAATAAACAGGTAAAGCTAGAATTGTAAAGGAAGACTTGATGGCTTGTGCTGATATTACCATCACTCAGCTGCCTGTAAGCGGTTATGTCTCCTCCTTCACTACTAGTGGTGCTAATGTAATAAAACACACACACACTCTCAAAGAAACCTCTACTGTCAATGCTTGCACTTCAATTTGTTTTGGATGAGGAAAGGGAAATTTGCCAAGCTTTTAAATGAGATTTTCAACCTGTTTGAAACTGCCATGTCCTGTACCTAGCTATCTTGGTTTTATAATAGCTCTTATATAATTACTGAATGATAAACTCCCTTATTTTTAGAGTAATTAAAGAGAATTAAATTTTGGGGGGAAATTTTCCCAACAATCTTCATGACAAATTAAAATATCTTGAGACTGTAAAACGAGTTGAGAGTCCCTATGTTAAATACGGACATAAAAGACTTACTTTAATGGAACTTAAAGATCTATGAAAATAATCATTTATATTATGTATGGGGAAAAAATAAGGTTGATGGGAGGAAAAGTAATGCAGAAGAATGCTGAACTTGGGATTCAGATTCTATTTTTTTTTTTTTAATAGAGGCATGTTTTTATTTATTTATTTGTTTGTTTGTTTGTTTTGTTTATACATGCACTGGGTACAGTCAGAAGCGCGGGAGGGTGAGAGAATTCACCAGAGCCAGAGTGGGGAGCAGAGCAGGCAGAAGGACCGAAGTACACTGCTGAGGGGAGCAGCGGGCGGCAGGAGAGGTCTGCGCACCATGTGGGACCCTCCTCTGGTGGCCGGGGAGCAGCCGGGGATCGAACCGGCGCCGCAGAGGCCGCGGGCAGCTTCGCAACCGAGCGCTCATCCGCTGCGCCACCGGGGAGGCCCGGGATTCAGATTCTAGATCTAACAATGTAAGCTTGGGCAAATAGTTTACCAACATAAACTTCAGGTTTCTCAGTAGTAAAAGAGCGAGAACTGGGGCCTCCCCTGGTGGCGCAGTGGTTGAGTGCTGGGTTGCGAGGCTGCCTGCAGCCTTTGCAGCACCGGTTCGATCCTCGGCCACCGGGCAGGGTCCCACATGGTGAGCAGACCTCTCCTGCCACGCCCGCTGCTCCCCTCAGCAGTGTACTTCATCACTCTGCCTGTTCTACTCCCCGCTCTGGCGCTGGTGAATTCTCTCACCCTCCCGCACCTCTGACTGTACCCAGTGCTTGTATAAATAAATAAATCTTTAAAAAAAATAAAATTAAATTAAAAAATTAAAAAACAAATGAAAACAGCAACATTTACTGTTCTAGGTGTATTACACATGTTGTTTAATTTAATCTTTACAATAACTAAGACTTGGATGTCTGTCTCTAGAACTGGTGTTCTTTTATTTTCTTTTAATGTCAAAGTAGAATCACCCTCCATTACAATTCACCCCTAATGCTTAACTGATGACAGAAATATGCCATGTTTCATTTAAATTTAACATGTGTGTGTCACAGTAGTGCTCTATGAAGCCTGTAATCTGAGTCTAATAAGGGAGGTAAATTTCACTACCTTAACAGTCCAGCATTGTGTATTTTATTATATTTTTCTATATCCAAACGGGCAGATTTATTATAAAAAAAGGAAAGTAAAGGACGCTTGCATAGATACTACAAGTGGGCAAAAAGAAGTACCTCTAAAAGGGACAGATTTGCTAAAAGAGATGCCTGCATAGACACAGGCAGACTTCTTGGGACGAGAGCCCGGGCAGCACTGTGTATTTTCAAAATGAGGCGGTCATCTCTGACAATGTCTGGAACTTTAAAAAGCATAAAGTGAGGCATCTATTGTGGCTTTAGTATGTAGAGACATACGTAACCTTGACTTATTTTTTGACCATATGTGAGACAAAAGATTCTCAGTTATTTTCCTCAAGAGGGAAACCTTGGATAAGAAATTGCAATTGCCATCATTGGTGGCTAGACCAAGGAAAATGAAGCTTAAAGAGCCTGAATCACTTTATGACTTAAGGTTATCAGTAGCAGGAATGGGATATGCATCTTAGTTTCTGACCAGAAGTGGGTAGGTCAGTGGATCATTCCACTAACCCATAACGAACTCAAACTAGAGGCAGTAATAAAACATTTTTAGAATACTTAACCTCAAAAACTTTGAGATCTTCACATGAAAAAGATACTACAGGTAATTATTTGCTGAAGAGTTATAAGACACAACTGTTATGTTCCTAAGTCAAGAAAATTGGAAGAGGAAGGAAAACACACCAGTGAGGTATTTCTGTGATGGACAAAATGTCAGTCTTGGGTTTTACCATAAACTGAAATCACAGCCAGGATGAGCCACGCAGTCCACTCTGGGAGGTACTTGATAAACACCAGGGCCATGAGGGCACTGATCATAATGAGATAGGCCTGCTGGAGTCGCAGGGGACCTTTCCAGTGGATGGCAATCATTCCCACCACACCGAAGTTCCAGATCAGGAATGCAACAGTAATGTAGTCCATGGCAACATTATAGGTTTTAAATACTTCCCTGAAAAAAATTAAACAGAGATCCAAACAGATTTATGAACAATCATTTTCATCAAAATATTCTGTTTCCCAACCATTAGATATTTTTTTATCTTCTATCAACTGTGCTGCTTCAGTTTTCTTTAAATTAATTCACTTTTCCCTGAAGTTGAGCTTATTTTAACAAAAAACTATGTAATTCATATAAAAGGGAAACCAGTAAAATAGGTCATACCTGATTAAAAAAAGGACATGAATGAAGAAAAGTCATATGCCCCTAAAATGCCAAGTATGGTATACTACACTTTGGAAAACCCTAGTTTAAAATATCTCAAATTGGAGAAAATTAAACACACACAATAAAATTTTAGCAGGACACATGACTTAATTTTCACGAAGTCAGTGCAGTCATTAAAAGATATACATGTATAGGGCCTCCCCGGTGGTGCAGCGGTTGAGCGTTGGGTTGCGAAGCTGCCCGCAGCCTCTGCGGTGCCAGTTCAATCCCCGACTGCTCCCCGGCAACCAGAGGAGGGTCCCACATGGCGCACAGACCTCTCCTGCCGCCCGCTGCTCCCCTCAGCAGTGTACTTTAGTCCTTCTGCCTGCTCTGCTCCCCGCTCTGGCTCTGGTGAATTCTCTCGCCTTCCCGTGCTTCTGACTCTACCCAGTGCTTGTATAAATAAATAAATAAATAAATCTTAAAAAAAAAAAAAAAAAAAAGACACATATATACTTTTTACTCACACATACAGAATATAGGCATGACATGTTGCTTGGGGAAACCAAAAGATCTCATTCATGTGTATGAGAAGAGAGCAAGAGATTGATATATACTAATTCCTGCAAAGATGACAGAACTTAAATCTTTAGATAATGCACTTCTGGTTATTTTCACTTCTGGTTATATCCACTTCTGGTTATTCTCATGCAACTTTTTAAAATTGAATTTTAACATCTTTAAACTGAGGAAAATACTATTTTTTATGGGATACAGGGGCTAGTCAGAAAGATGAGTTCCCATTTATTTTTAATTCCCTAGTTCTGGGCCTCCCTGGTGGCACAGGGGTTAAGTCTTGTGCTATCAAGCTACTGCCAGACACTGCGACATGAGTTCAACCCAGGTCAGGGAACTAATCCACATGGTGCAGCAGACCTCTCCTGTCTCACAAGATGCTCCCCTCAGCAGTGTACTTCAGTAGATCCACCTCTTCTGCTCCCAAACTCTGTCTTTGGTGTATCCTCTCACTCCCTGTACCTCTGGCCTATACCCTGTTCTTGTATGCAAATAAAAATAAATCTTTAAAAAAATAATAAATTCCCAGCCCTTATGGTTTCCTCTAGCTCTTTTATGCTTTTCCCTTCATATTTAAATTTTTAATCCACTTGGAATTTGTTCTGGCATAGATACAAGGAAGAAATCCAAACTTTTCCCCAGATGACTGATCAATTATCCCACACCCATTTCTAAGTAATCCACCTATTGCCTACTGATCCTATACTAGCTTTATTTAAAAAAAAAAAGTATTTATTTATGCATACAAGAATTATTTATTTATGCACACAAGAACAGGGGTAAAGGCCAGAGGTGTGGGAGGAGAGAGGACTCACCAGAGTGGGGAGTAGAACCTTTACTTATTTTTCCAAATAAACTTTAAAATCATCCTGCCCGGATTAAAAATAAATTGTTTATATTTTTATTGAGCTTATATTAAATTTTTATTTTTATTTATTTTTATTTTTTAAAAGATTTATTTATTTATACAAGAACCGGGGTACAGGTCAGAAGCGCAGGAGGGTGAGAGAATTCACCAGAGCCAGAGTGGGGAGCAGAGCAGGCAGACGGACAGAAGACACTGCTGAGGGGAGCAGTGGGCAAGGCAGGAGAGGTCTGCCATGCTATGTGGGGTTCTCCCTGGCTGGTGGGGAATCGAACTGGCGCTGCAGAGGCTGCGGACAGCTTCACAGAGTGGCGATCAACCACTGCGCCACTGGGGAGGCCCTATATTAAATTTTTAAATAAACTTAAAACAGTATTGATATTTTTATGATACTAAGATTTTCCATGGAAGTTGGTATAACTTTCCATTTGTTTAAAAGTCTTCTCGTCATGCCCTTCATGGGCATTAAAATTTCTTAATAACAAATCTTACACAATTTTTGTTTGATCCAAGATATTTTATATTTCTTACTGTTATCAAATATAGGGTTTTGCCCCTTTTTTATGTTTCCTCACCACATGAAGGCTACTGATTTGTGTGTGTTTTGTATCCAACTGCTTTGCCAAATTTACTTGTATTGTTTCTTAGCTATTTTCTGAGACCAAATATTCAATTTATGTTCAAATTCAACCTTCTTTTCCAAACTGTAGAGTTCTTACTCATTTTTCTCTTTTGGGCTCACCAGTTCCTCCAGAGCAATGTTAAGACTACAGTAGTGGGGCCTCCCAGGTGGTGCAAGGGGTTAAGAAGCAAACTATGATGCTATTGACAGCCACTGCAGCACATGTTAGATCCCTGGCCAGGGAGGTGACCCACATGGCGCAGCAGACCTCTCCTGTCTTGTCCACTGCTCCCCTCAGCAGTGTATTTCAGTCAATCTGTCTGTTGTGTTCTCCACTCTGTCTCTGGTAAATCCTCTCACCCCCACACCTTTGGCCTGCACCCCAGTTCTTGCATAAATAAATCTTAAAAAAAAAAAGACTACAGTAGTAATAGAGGTTAATTCTTGACAGTTACAGACATGCTCCTAGAGTTTCCCTGTTAAGATGACACTGGCTGGGGGCCTCCTGGTGGCACAATGGGTTAAGACGCAACCTGTGAAGCTTTCCGCAGCCTCTGCAGCATGAGTTTGATCCCCCGGCTGTTGAGGGACCTCAACAGCAGCAGACCTCTCATGGCTCGCCTGCTGCTTGCCTCAGCAGTGTACTTTAGTCAATCTGCCTGTTCTGTTCCCCACCCTGTCTTTGGTGAATCCTCTCACCCTCCTACACATTTGGCCTGTACCTCAGTTATTGTATGCATAAATAAATAAATCTTTAAAAAAAAAAAATGATAGTGGCTGGGGCCTCCCTGGTGGCTCAGGCGGTTGTGCGCAGTGCTATGAAGCTGTCCACAGCCTCTGCAGCACAGATTCGATCCTGCTGGCCAGGGAGATTCCAACATGGCGCGGCAGAACTCTCCTGTCTTGCCCGCTGCTTCCCTCAGCAGTGTGTTTCAGTGAATCTGCCTGTTCTGTTCCCTGCTCTGTCTCTGGTGAATCCTCTCATCCTCCAACACATCTGGCCTGTACCCCAGTTCTTGTATGCATGAATAAACAAATCTTTAAAAAAAAACAAAGAGATGATACTGGCTGTTAGAGTAAAAGTCATACATTTTTATCATGTTTGAGAAGTAACCATATCATGTTTGAGAAACAGCCATCTATTTATTTCACAATGAAATTTGATCAAATACAAGTGCTGAATTTTATGAAATTCCTCTGAGCATGTTCACAGAGATGAATTATCTCATAATGTAGTGACTTACACTGAAATTTCCTAATAATGAACGAGTTTTCCATTCTACAAACAAAACCCACTTGGTAATAATGTATTATTTCTTTAATGTGTTGCTGAATTATGTTTTTTTTTGAAAGATTTATTTTATTTTATGTATACAAGAGCCAGGGCACAGGCCAGAGATGTAAGGAGTGAGAGGATTCACCAGAGACAGAGTGGGGGACAAGAACAGGCAGACTGACCAAAGCACACTGGTGAGAGGAGCAGTGGGCAAGCCAGGAGAGGTCTGCTGTGCCATGTGGGTTGCTCCCTGGCCAGCCAGGGAATCAAACTCGTGTTGCAGAGGCTGTGGATAGCTTCATAGGTTGTGTCTTAATCCCTTGCGCCACCAGGGAGGCCCTGAATTATGTTTGTTAATACTGTTATTCTTTTGGCATCAATCTATAAAATTGTGCTACAGTTGTTTCTTGATAATTTACAGAGTTTTGTTATCAGTGCTATCATGGCTTCATAAAACAAATCTGGAAGCTTTTCTTCTCTACATTAAATAGTATTATTAACTTGTTAAAGGTTTAACAGAAATTCCCTGTGAAAACATTTGGGCCTGGCACTGCCATGGTTGGTGTTGCTATGGTTGGCATTGCTATGGAAGGGAGATGGGAACCTTTTCAGTAACTTATTTTTTCTTTACTTACATTATCTATTGCTTTGTTGGTCAATTTTAGTATTGACTTTTTCCTAAAAAATTATCCATTTTATATAAATGCTGACATTTCTTTCTTTTATTCTGTGGTTATTCCTCAACCTTTTATCAAAGAATTATTTGATTTGCTTATTGCATCTAATCCTAATTTAAGAGCAAAGGGATGGTTTACAAACTGTTATTCTACCACTAGACCTGAGAGAAACACCAGGCTGGCAAATCTCTGAGTCTCTATTCTCTTCAACACAGAAGCTCCAACTTTTTCTGTTTTATGTGAAGTTTTCATGTAAGATTTCATTTGAAAAAAGACCCATTGATGAAATAAAGCTTGAAAATTAGTAATTCACGTATATATACATTCTTGAAATCCTTTTTTAACATTCTGATTCAGAAGTTACTAGAAGTACAGATTAATAAAATATTATTCACTAAAAGTTTAGTAAAGTCTTTTCTGAAAAGCCTTAGAATTAACTATTGTAAGTTTTTTTCAGTTCTACTTACCATAAACAAGAATCAACAAAACAATATCCCTATTGATGATATTAACTTGTCTTAATATATACCAAGTATGACCTATATATGGAAACAATTATAATTTGAGTTATTTATCAACAGAGTATATGGCTTTACATGACAATTACACAGCCTAGAGAGACAATTTCTGAAAAAGAAAAATTATTTTGCCACTTACCCCAAGTAAATGAATGAGAAAAAGAACAGCAACAACAGAGATGAAATAATTAGCCAGCCATGGATGACCTAAAAAACATAGGATTCCAATATAATTAGAAGATTCTACAATCCTAAAAAAATTTATAAATTTCTTCCCTCAAAATACTATTCTATGTATGTTTCTGTATATTGTTTTCAAATGGCAGAATGTAAGTGGTTTGGGGATCAATGTATACTTACATAGAACTTTTTAGTGCAGAACTACTCATAATATGAAATATAAATTTCAGAAAAACAAAGACTCTTATTCCTTTAGAAACAGAATTTTGAAAAAGAAAATACATTCTAAAATACTAAATTATCAACAGAGTTAACAGCTGACATTTAAACTTTAATAAACACCACTATCAATGGAGAAATTTTGAATAAATTAATAAACTGAGGGGCCTCCCTGGTGGCCTGGAGGTTAAATCTCAGCACTACCCCCTCAAAGGTCCACCAAGATGGCCTGAGTTAGATCTCCAGCTGGGGAGCTAACCCACATGGCGCAGCAGACCTCTCCTGTCTCTCCCACTGTGCATCAGTGTATTTCAGTAGATCCGTCTCTTCTGCTCCCCACTCTGTCTCTGGTGAATCCTCTCAACACCCATACCTCTGACCTGCACCCCAGTTCTTCTATGCAAAAATAAATGAAATCTTAAAAAAATAAACTGAATAAAATGGTTGATAAAATTCAATAAAACTGAAAATCAGATATTCAGAGTTAAGTGACCCCTGTATACAAACATTAAGAATACAAAAAGGGGGGCCTCCCCGATGGCGCAGCAGTAAAGCGCTGGGTTGCGAAGCTGCCCGCGGCCTCTGCGGTGCTGGTTCGATCCCCGGCTGCTCCCCGGCCACCTGAGGAGGGTCCCGCATGGCGTGCAGACCTCTCCTGCCGCCCGCTGCTCCCCTCAGCAGTGTACTTCAGTCCTTCTGCCTGCTCTGCTCCCTGCTTTGGCTCTGGTGAATTCTCTCACCCTCCCGTGCTCTGACTGTACCCAGTGCATGTATAAACAAAAACAAACAAACAAATAAATAAATAAAAACATGCCTCAAAAAAAAAAAATAAAAAAGAATACAAAAAGGGGCCTCCCTGGTGGTGCAAGGGGTTAAGACAGCACTATGAAGCAATTCGCAGCCTCTGCAGCACAAGTTCAATCCCTGGTCAGCCAGGGAGCAATCCACATAGTGCAGCAGACCTCTCCTGACTCGCCCGCTGCTCCCCTCAGCAGTGTATTTCAGTAAATCTGCCTGTTCTGCTCCCCACTCTGTCTCTGGTGAATCCTCTCACCCTCCACACCTCTGGCCTACACCCCAGTTCTTGTATGCATAAATAAATCTTTAAAAAAAAAAAAAGAATACAAAAAGGCCCTCTAATTATGTAACCATTTCACAAAAGAATATTCAGAATCTGAGGTTGTAGTAAGTATTGGAATGCTTTTCTTCTTTTTTTACATGGCACATTAATAAGTATTAATATTACCAATTCTTTGAAACAAATATATATCAGTCCACCATTATGGAGAATTCACACAGCACTATATAAATATTAGTCTCTATTACTTATTGATGTAAGAGTAGATCAGAATTTGATTCTTGTAATTTTTTAAACAATACTTTTTTTTTAAAGATTTATTTATTTATACAAGAATCAGGGTACAGACCAGATGCACGGGAGGGTGAAAGGATTCATCAGAGACAGAGCGGGAACAGAACAGGCAGACTGACGAAATACACTGCTGAGGGGAGCAGAGGGCGAGACAGGAGAGGTCTGCTCGCCATGTGGGTTGCTCTGAGGCCAGCGGGGATTGAACCAGTGCTGCAGAGGCAGCTTCACAACACGGCGCTCAACTGCCTGTGCCACCAAGGGAGGCCCCAACAAGACAATACTTTTTAATGGTAATTTTATATTATAAGTATATTTGGGAAAATCTTACACAACCCAAGAAGAGAGTATGTATGTGTATATATAAACCTCTAGTCATAAAATAAACACATGCTACATAATATATATCATGAAGAGTACAGTTAATGATACTGTACTTCATGTTTGAAATTTGCTAAGAGTAGATCTTAAAAGTTCTCATTACTAGAAAAAAGAAACTATGTCTGGTGACTGTTAAACTTGACTCAAGCGATCATTTCAAAATACATACAAGTATCACATCATTATGATGTACAACTGAAGCTAATATCTCAATTATATTTCAGTAAAACTTTTAAATAAAATAAAAATACTGAAACAATTTCTAATCACAACTGAAGTTAATAACATTTTCTTTTCAGACTTGTTTTCTATCTGCATGTATAAAACTTTCAACAAAATTAGAATCAAGTATAATACAGTTGCACATTCTGATTTTTATTTTTTTTTATTTATTTATTTTTTTTTTTTATAGAGGCATGTTTTTATTTATTTATTTGTTTGTTTGTTCGTTTGTTTCGTTTATACATGCACTGGGTACAGTCAGAAGCACAGGAGGGTGAGAGAATTCACCAGAGCCAGAGCGGGGAGCAGAGCAGGCAGAAGGACCGAAGCACACCGCTGAGGGGAGCAGCGGGCGGCAGGAGAGGTCTGCGCGCCATGTGGGACCCTCCTCCGGTGGCCGGGGAGCAGCCGGGGATCGAACCGGCGCCGCCGCAGAGGCTGCGGGCAGCTTCGCAACCCAGCACTCAACCGCTGCGCCACCGGGGAGGCCCCACATTCTGATTTTTAAAACTTAATCTTTTATTAAACATATTCTCATACCACCAAATATGACTTCCAAATGACTAAATAATAATATACAGCTTACACGGATGAAGTCACAATTTAACCTTTACCTTATGCTTGGAATTTGTGGTGTTCCCTGACTCTTCCATTATAATTTATGTTAGGATGGCTATCCTAATATGCAAATATTTTTCTGCATTCCTAAATTTTTCCTTGGGATTTACCAAGTCAAAGTGTACAAACTTTTTCTAGTAATTGACTACTGATACATAATGGTTTAGTAACTTCACAAAAAAATCAGTCTTTACCAAATAAATAGGTGAAATAAATTATTATTTTTTTTAAAGAAGTGACTAACATTTTATTTATTTATTTATTTTTTAATAGAGGCATGTTTTATTATTTGTTTGTTTGTTTGTTTTGTTTATACATGCACTGGGTACAGTCAGAAGCGCGGGAGGGTGAGAGAATTCACCAGAGCCAGAGCGGGGAGCAGAGCAGGCAGAAGGACCGAAGTACACTGCTGAGGGGAGCAGCGGGCAGCAGGAGAGGTCTGTGCGCCATGTGGGACCCTCCTCTGGTGGCTGGGGAGCAGCCGGGGATCAAACCGGCGCCGCAGAGGCCGCGGGCAGCTTCGCAACCCAGCGCTCAACCGCCGCGCCACCGGGGAGGCCCAAAATAAATTATTTTAATATGCATATTTCTTTGGTTAAGGAGTACACACACACACACACACACACACACACACACACACCTTTCTCTTTACAGGTCATCTGTAACTCCTTTATAATTTCTATTTGGGTTTTTTGATTTTCTCAGTGATTTGTAAGTGCTCTTCATATTATAAAAATATTAGCCCTCTGCCTGTAATAATGAATGCACACAGTTTTTCTATTTAGGTTAGTCCCTGATGTATGCTTTTCTGAATTATTTCCTGAATTCAAAGCCTCTTCTGATAACTTTTAGCACCTCCTTTTCTAGAACATCAGGTGGTAAAACAGGTCTTTCTCATCTTACAAAAATCCTAGTTCAGATTTCCTGTAGTCAAAGTTCTAAAAGAGTTCTGCTTCAATATGGAACAGTATCTCCTCTACTTCCAGAATTATTCAGGCCAGAAGTCACAAACATAAAAAATCTATATAGTTTCACCTATAGCAAATGATGTATACCAATGCATTGTCTTTTTTGGTTTTCACTTTTTTAAGGTTTGTCTGGTCTTTAGCTTCTTGTGCTTCTTGCAGACATTGCACAACCACTGACAAATCCTCATTGCTTATTTCTAAACAGGTTCTGGCAAGTTTCTGAATTTGATTCAAGAGTTCCTTTTAATTTATACTTGAAGTCAAAGTAAACAATTTGTTTCTATAGAATTGGCTCCACTTGCTAAGACTTGAATACTAAACAACAATACAAATTCACAGGTAAATGTGGATATCTGGCTGAGGATAATCCTTTTAGACTACCCTAACCCAGCCCATCAAAAAGATATCAAGACAGGTAACATGAAGTAAAAGCACATTCCACCTTGTTTCTTCCACCAAATCCAACTATAAAACTTGGATAGAATATATGTAGCTGTTAGCTAAGGAAGCTGAAAAGTAAATAGAGGTGGGTGGGCTGAGGAATGACAAGTTCCAAAGAGCAGGCTTAACACTTCTGTCCCTCCAGCACTACCCTCCTCCTCTTGAACTTGACACAGCTGGAGTGGACATTAGAAGCCCAGGAGAGGGCCTCCCCGGTGGCGTAGCGGTTGAGTGTTGGGTTGCGAAGCTGCCCACAGCCTCTGCAGCGCCGGTTCGATCCCCGGCTGCTCCCCGGCCACCGGAGGAGGGCCCCACATGGCGTGCAGACCTCTCCTGCCGCCCGCTGCTCCCCTCAGCAGAGTACTTCGGTCCTTCTGCCTGCTCTGCCCCCCGCTCTGGTGAATTCTCTCGCCCTCCCGCGCTTTTGACTGTGCCCAGTGCTTGTATAAATAAATAAAAATAAATCTTTAAAAAAAAGCCAAGGAGAGCTCTAGGAGCAGCTCACGGCCTGGCTAAGGAGCGGGAAAGAAGTCTCCTAACACCAAGAGAAGGGAAAATCTCAACTTTAGTTTTTTCTTCTCTCCATTCTCATGCTCAGTCGTGGTAGTAATGGAGGTGCAGGGATATAAAATCAGATGGACACATTTATTGTACTTTAGAATAGTGAAAAGCTGGAAAATGTCAACAAAGGAGAAATTAGAAGTAAATTATATTTCACTTATTGAGTTAGATATTACATAGCCATCGACATTTTCTAAGAATTTATAATATGGAAAATGCTTACACCAAAGTGAAAGAAAGGACATACTGATTATATATTTTAACCATGTCAAAAAGTAAACAAATACTAAAAGGAAATAGACCTCAATATTTGGTGAGAGCTTCAGAGCGCTGTCTTTAGCCCCTACGCCACCAGGAGGCCCCTAAACTTCAATATTTGGAAAGTTAATGTTTACTTCTTTTATTTGAGAATGTCCTTAAAGGTTCACGAATTGTATTAACTTCATCATTTTTCTGAAAGAGGTGCCAAGGTGTCTGAAATTCAGGAATAAGCAACTTAGCTAAAGAGTAAGCTAGGGGAGCAGAGGCTAGGAGGGCTGGGCCTGTGTCTTTCCTGTACAACCTCCCATGTCCTCGCTTCCCAAGAAAACAATTAGGGCTACCATAAGAGAGTAGGTAACAGAACAGATGGCTACCAATTAGAAGCAGGACCATAGCCAGTCACTGATAAGTTTAACACCAGCATCTGAAGGGGGTTTAATGGCTCTGCACTCAAATGCAAAAATCTGAAACTTTAAAATCATACATTATGGAGACCACTGTATCCTACAGTGCCATTTGTGAACAAGCGATTTACAAAACACGGCATCCCCCTTTGGGATGTTTAAGTATACTATAAATCGAAATGTTAAACCATCGAGTTTGTGGCATATGAAAACATTTGTTTTTCATTTACACCCATATTCCACAATGGGGTGGGGGGTGGGCAGTTAACTACTAATTAATTTACTAGAAAATAAGACCTTTTTCTTTACTAGACCTAGTAACACATGGGCCAGGAAATCCCAGTCATTAGAAGAAAATGGTAGGAAGCAAAGCTCTGACCCTCATGCTCACCTTATAGCACCTGTATTTATACAGAATCACCAGGAGAATAGTCATGACAACAATGACGCTGATCATGATAGCAGCATTCAGAATTGAGTGCAACGCTCTCTGACCTACAGTCTCCGTGTCTTCTGTGAATGGTGTATAGATTCTATAATAAAACAAAACACAAAAGCCCCAGGTAAGTGTTAATGGATATCCCAAACCACATACCCCGCCAACACCAGAATTTTCTTTCCTTGATTCAAGTGATCTTTTATAACTATTTTACATCTCATCAACTTAATCAAGAACTTTTAATCTAAGAAAAATAGCTATACTCATTTGCTTCAAAATGAAATAAAAATTGGATGAACTTACTTATTGGCTCCATCTAGTGGATGCTTCATACTGAAATAATTACCTCACATGTTCTTTCTCCACAGTTTACCAGGAATTTCAGAACCAGAGTATGCCACATAAACTAGGCTACAAGTGGTTGTGAGAAGGTAATGTAGCTTATAACCATTTTCTTTCTTCTGAAGAATGACTGCAACTGGAGCAGTCTTGAGACAATGTCACATCCATTCTCCCCTTGTTTTTCATTCACATAAAATTTGACTGACTCCTATGTCCTGGTGCCTATGTTCCTACCTAAAAGATTTTATTTCTGACTACTTTAAACTAAGGTGTGGCCATGGGACTAAATAATGGTCAGTGAGTTACAAGCAGATGTGTTGTGTGGGATACCTAAGGAGTTATTTCTGCTGAGAGATATATCTCATGCCTCTCCTCCACTCCTCCCTGCTGGAAGGGGTTGGGCTGTAACGCCCCTACTGGGCTCTGGGATAACTAGAGGATGAAAGGACCCTGGCTTCCTGCTGAATGTGAAGCCACTATGCCAATCTGGACTGACTACCTCTGCACTACTCTGTGGGAGAGACAAAACAAGTCTATAATTTAAACCAGCTTCTTAGATTTTCCACAACAGGGTCAGCAAACTTTCTGTCAAGTACTATAGTAAATATTTTCAACTGCACAAGTCAGTCAGTCTCTGTTGCAGTCACACAACTCTGCCATTACAGTATGAAAGCTGCCAAAACCAATGTGTAAATGAACGGACACAGCTGTGTTCCAATAAAACTGCATTTACAAAAATAGCTGGCAGGGAGGTATCTGTGGGCTGTAGCTTTCAAACTCCTATTTGACAATAGGTAGTCAAAAAAATCTAACTCTCAACTTATACAGATAACAATCCCCACCTTCTTTTGGCTACTGTCTTGTTACAGGGCAGCCCCCATACAAAACGGGTTGCCTGACTGTGGGTTCTCACCTGCGCATTTAAAAGGACTTATTAATATTCTACTTAAAGGACTTACTATTACTCTACACACAAAAGGTTAATATAAGGTGTATTTAGGGCCTCCCCGGTGGCACAGAGGTTGAGCGCTGGGTTGCGAAGCTGCCCGCAGCCTCTGCAGCGCCGGTTCGATTCCCGGCTGCTCCCTGGCCACCGCAGGAGGGTCCCACATGGTGCACAGACCTCTCCTGCCACCCGCTGCTTCCCTCAGCAGTGTACTTCGGTCCTTCTGCCTGCTCTGCTCCCGGCTCTGGCGAATTCTCTCATCCCCCTGCGCTTCTGACTGTACCCAGTGCTTGCATAAATAAATAAATAAATCTAAAAAAAAAAAAAAATATATATATAATATATAAATATATATATATATATACAAGGTGTATTTACCTCCACCCTGCCTTTCACTCACTGTTTTAGCCTTTCTCCCTAAAGTGTAAGGGTTTGGCTTTCAGAACATCATGTAGTTTTTCAGGTACTTGCCAATTTCAAATTCTAAAATTTGCTGAAAGCCTTTTTGAAGCATTTTTCTTGGAAGCACCAGCAGCATCAAAGAATCAACACGACATTCCCCAGCTTCTAGAGTGCCAGCTTGCATTAATTCTTCATCCCTTCATTTAACAACTTTTCTCAGAGCTAAGCATCTATTATGTACGTTGCCCTGGAAACCAACTTTTCCTTACAGACCTTACAAGTACAGAAGTACTAAGCATTAAATAATGTAAATAAATACGTACTTTGCATACTGTGACAAGTGAAAAAGAACAGATTATTATGAGACTATCAGGAAAGATCTAATTCTGTTAAGAGAATCAAGAAAGTTATCTCTGAGGACTTTATATTTAAGCCAAAATAAGCAGATAGGAATTAATCAACAACTGGACAAGGAAAGAACATTCCAGGTAGAACAATGTAGCTAAGGGCCATGAGGTAGAAAAGATCACTACATAATTCTTTACCCACCCAGTTCCAAATAAAGTCAACCCTATCTAGTGACACTACAGACGAAATAGAATCTTGCAGCTTTCATTTCCTCTACTTTGAAGGCTCAAGTAATAAGTAACCCCTCACTCTGGCCATGAGAGGGTGGACTCTCTCACTTTCATGTTCTGAGGTCTTCAAGGTGATGACATCACTGTAGCTGTGAAGAAAAGCTACCGTGGCTCTGAGAATTAAAAAAAAAAACAAAATACTCATACGTACAGCTGCCCATCCTTCCGGGTATAAAAGCTGACAGATTTGATGGTGGCTACGACCACCACCATACAAAGAGTCACAGGCACAAAGAGCATGATCACATGTTTGGCGCCGTATTTCAATGTCAGCTCCTCATCTTCTTCTTCGTCTTGTTCGGCCACCTGCTGTATGTTACCCTGAGGTCGACCATTAGATACTGGCTCAGGGTTGGCCCGCATCCTCCGCTCGTTGCCATGCTCATGCCGTTCTCTACTGTCATTCTAAAAGCACAAGAAAAACTTGTTCAATAAATCAGACTCTCAGTAAAATCAAGGTATTCTATGTAAAAAAAAAAAATAGAAATCAGACCAGGGATTTACAATAGGCTCATCATTACTTCAGTTCTAAATACTCGCGGTAAGGAAGACTCAATGTATAAGCCATCTAGATTGTTCACCATTGTTCACTGAAGGGACCCTTTCACCTGGGTTACCTGTTTTCCCTTCTATTTTCAACTTACAACATCCATATGCTTTGAGGTTTCACTAAAAAACTGACATCTCATGAAATGATCTTGATTTTTTCAAACTGATGAAGTGCTCTCCTCATGCTTTCAGATTGGTATTAGGAACTGTCTACCCTTCATTATTAATAAGACTTAAAATCCTTGCAGTAATGTTCAGGAATATCTGCTCTTTTTTCTCCTAAGATAGCATTACTTTTATTTTCTTTTAACCTGTGTTATTTCTTACTATTTCATACAAGTGTACAGTTATCTAAAAAAAGTAATCAATTAAAAATTTTTTACAGGGGCATCCCTGTTAGCGCAAGGGGTTAAGCAACACATTATTAAGCAATCTGCAGCCTCTGCAGCACAAGTTCAATCCCTGGCCAGCTAGGGAGCAACCCACATGGCGCAGCAGACCTCTCCTGTCTCGCCCACTGCTCCCCTCAGCAGTGTATTTCAGTCAGTCTGCCTTTTCTATTCCCCACTCTGTCTCTGGTGAATCCTCTCACTTCCCCCCCATCTCTGGCCTGTACCCCAGCTCTTGTATTCATAAATAAATATTAAAAAAAAATTTTTTTACAGAGAGAAACTGACATCTGATACAGATGTCCCCAAGTTTTCCCAGCAGCCCTAAAAAGAATGAGGGAACAATAAACACCCGATGAATGACGAAGGACATGAGAACCTTTTTTGATCCTACTTTCCTTGGACTGGAATCCTAATCCGAACACTACTTTGTTACCTTTAAACTAATCCTGGGGTTATCTTTCCTATCCTCCAAGTTCAACTTCCTTTTTGGTATCACTGTTTATATCTGAAACTCAAGTATTGTAAAGGGTGGAATGAATCCCAAGAGCAATAACAACAACAATAATAAACATGATAACCAGAGACAAATAACAGACACTCCTCCTTCGCACAGATAAGGAAACAGAACAGGAGATGAAAGCAGCCTGGCAGTCACCGGTGCTGGTGAGATGGAACCAGCTTGGTCAAGAAAGCAGTCTTCTAGGAAGACCACGTGAGGACACACAACTCTTGTACTGTATTTTGACTACAACATACAAGAGAGTATTACTATTATTTATTAAAAGCAAATTAAAGAAATACCTTAAAATTATTAAAATGTACCACAGATTGGAACTTCACGTGTAATCCTCAGAGCCACCCCATCATGACTTCACGGGTGAGGAAAGAACCATAGGTAGCGTGACAGAGGGAGTTTGAACCAGGACTGCATGACTGCAGGTAACAAGTTGTTTTGTTTTGTTTTTAAATTTTCTTCCCAAGGTCCATCTCATATATCCCTTGACTCTTTCTCCCTCTCCCACCCCGAAACCTCACTTCATTTATTAATATGCACTAGTTTTTGTAAGTATTTTACTTTGTTGAATTGTCCACTATGTAAAAGTATAATATTTGTCATTCTGAGTTGCTCTACTATACATTATTCTCTCAAATTCCTCCCATGCTGCTGTAAATGGCAGCATTTCATCTTTCCTTATGGCTGACTAGTGTACCATAGTGTGGCTACACCACATCTTGTTTTTTGGCTGGGCACAGTACACTTTGTTGATGGCACATGATGAGGCAGGGCTTCCTAAGTTCCTCTCCTTCTCCAGGGGGTCTGGGTTGGAACTGTAACAAGGTCAGGAGAATCTCAGTGTATTGGATGAGTGGGGGAAAGACTCCCCAGCAGCTGAGGGGCCCCTCAAGCTCTTATTCCTCAGCGGCCATGTGGACCATAAGGTCCACCACCCTGAGGCTGTAGTCAAATTCATTGTCATATCAGGAAGTAAGCTTGATAAAGTAGTTGTTGAGGGCAATGCCAGGCCCAGCATCAAAGGTAGAGGAGTGGATTTCACTATTAAAACAGGAGACAACATGGTCCTCAGCATAATCCAGGATGTCCTTAAGGGGCTCTGAGATGCCCGGTTCACCATCTTCTTGATGTTACTCTATTTAGCAGCTTTCTCTCAATGGCAGGTCAAATCCACAACATTGGAGTTGGGACCAGTGAGCTCCCATTGAACTTAGGGATAACCAAGCCCATAGTCTTTGGGCTCAAGTAGAGGCAGGGATGATGTTCTGGGCATTCCCTTGGCCCTCACACCAAAGGGAATTGTCCAAAGGGGTTGTTCACAGTCTTCTGTATAGCAGTGATGGTGTGGACTTTGATCATGAGTCCCACAAAGCCAAAGTTGTCATGGATGACATTGGCCATGAGGGCCAAGCAGTTGGTGTTGAAGATGTTGTTGTCAATATTGCAGGAGTTGTCATACCTCTCATGGTTTACACCCACCACAAACATGGTGGCCATCATCAGAGGGGGCAGAGATAACGACCCTTTTGGGCCCCACCCTTCAAGTGAGTCCCAGCCATGTCCAACGTGAAGTTCACTGAACTCCACAACACTTTCAGCAATGAAAGTACTGGGGGTAATCTCCTTCCTGGTGGATGGAAATGGGCTTTCCATTGAGACTAAGCCTTCAGTTCTCAGTCTTGACTATGCCATTGAAATTGCCATGGGTAGAATCATATTGGAACATATAAACATGTAGCTGAAGTCAATGAAAGGGTCATCGATTTCAATAATAGCCACTTTGCCAGAAGTAAAAGTGGGAATGGTGACCAGAAGCCAAATCTGGCCAAATTCATTGACTCCAGCCTTCACCATGGTATCTCAGTGATATGACTAGCACTGCACCAGAAGTGCAGCTGAACCCGGAGGAGCAGAGAGCCCATATCTTACTGATCCAGTTTCCTACAGGTGGACATTTATGTTGCTTCCAAGTCCTATCTACTGTAAGTAGAGCTGCAGTAAGCACTGCGGGCGTATTGTTTTTCGAGTTACTGTTTCACATTCTTTTAGACAGATGGCCAAATTGGAACTGCTGAGTCATACAGTATTTCCACTTTTAGGGTTTTTTTTAAGATTTTATTTTTTATGCACCCAAGAACTGGGGTGTAGGCCAGAGGTGTGGGGAACGAGAAGATTCATCAGAGATAGAGTGGGGAGCAGAACAGGCGGACTGACTAAAATACACCGCTGAGGGGAGCAGAAGAGGTCTGCTGCACCATGTGGGTTAGCTCCCTGGCCAGGGATCAAACTCATGCGACAGTGGCTGGTGATAGCTGAGACTTAACTACTTGCCCCACCAGAGAGGCCTATTCACTTTGTTTTTAAGGTAAATCTAGATAACTTTTCAAAATGGCTACATTCTCACCAACAGTATAACAGGGTTCCTTTCGGGCATACCCGGTTGCACAGCGGTTGAGTGCTGGGTTGCGAAGCTGCCCGCGGCCTCTGCAGTGCTGGTTCGATCGCCGGCTGCTCCCCAGCCACCAGAGGAGGGTCCACATGGTGCACAGACCTCTCCTGCCGCCCGCTGCTCCCCTCAGCAGTGTACTTCGATCCTTCTGCCTGCTCTGCTCCCCGCTCTGGCTCTGGTGAATTCTCTCACCCTCCCACGCTTCTGACTGTACCCAGTGCTTGCATAAATAAATAAATCTTTAAAAAAATAAAAAATAAATAAAAATAAAAATAAGAGGGTTCCTTTCTTGACATCCTCTCCAGTCCTTGCTGGGAAACTTTTTAATGTGTGCCATTCTCACAAGTATGAGATGGTATCTCATTTTGATTTTAACTGGCATATCTCTTACTAGAAGTAATGATGCACATTTTCCCATATATCTACTGGTCATCTGGATATTCTTATGGGTGAACTGTTTGTACAGATCTGCTGCCCATCTATTAATTGCATTGTTTTAATGTTGAACTGTACAAGATTTTTATGTATGATGGGTATTAATCCCTTATTTGTTGTGTACTGTGTAAAGCACTTTCTTCCATTCATTAGGATCTCTTTTCAATCTACTTATACTTTTGTTTACTGTATAAAATTTGTTCCAATTTGAAGTAATCTCAATTGGGCCTCCCCGGTGGCGCAGCAGTTGAGCGCTGGGTTGCGAAGATGCCCGCGGCCTCTGCGGCGCTGGTTCGATCCCCGGCTGCTCCCCGGCCACCAGAGGAGGGTCCCACATGGCGCGCAGACCTCTCCTGCCGCCCGCTGCTCCCCTCAGCAGTGTACTTGGGTCCTTCTGCCTGCTCTGCTCCCCGCTCTGGCTCTGGTGAATTCTCTCACCCTCACGTGCTTCTGACTGTACCCAGTGCATGTATAAACAAAAAACAAACAAATAAATAAAAACATGCCTCTATAAAAAAAATAAATAAATAAAATAAGATAAATGAAGTAATCTCAATTGTCTATTTTTGCAAGTATTTTCCATGCCATAAAGGTTAAGAATTTATCTTTATCATTGTGGTCATGGAACATATTCTACTGTTTTCTTCTATATACTTTATTTTTGCAGGTGTTATGTCCAAATCTTTAACCATTTTGGAATAACTTTTGTGCATGAGGCTACAGAATGATTCAATTTCATTCTTTTTTTTTTTTCAATTTCATTCTTTTAAATTTTTTTAAAAATTTATTCATGCATACAAGAACCAGGGTACAGGCCAATTGCGCAGGAGAGTGACAGGATTCACCACAGACAGAGAGGGGAACAGAACAGCCAGACTGACCAAAATACACTGCTGAGGGGAGCAGCAGATAAGACAGGAGAGATCTGCTGTGCCATGTGGGTAACTCCCTGGCCTGCCAGGGATCGAACTCATACCATGCTGCAGACTTAACCCCTTGCACCACCAGGGAGGCCCCCAATTTTTTCTTTTCTATTTTGTAATTTGTATATTAAAATGCTACAATT